AGCTTCGCGTCTTCTCGACAACGAGATTCGCATCCTCAAGGTACATAATCTCTTCTGCTTCTGAAACCCTATCGATTACACTATCTATTCGTGTTGCTTCAATCTTCTCAGCAGTTAGGGTTTCTGGTTTTGGTTACATTGTTTTTTGGTGGTTGAAGGAAGAGTTGCAGCGGACCAATTTGGAATTGGAGTCGTACAAGGAGAAGATCAAGGAGAATCAGGAGAAGATTAAACTCAACAAGCAGTTGCCCTACCTTGTTGGCAACATCGTTGAGGTAACTGTTTCGGATGTTCTTTTGGGGATTCTTGGACTTTGAGTTCTCAATCTTGAACGATGGCGGAGATTGTCTCTCGCTTTTTTCCGCATTCTTCGTGGATATTGACGTGGTTGTTTTTTGCATTTAGATATTGGAAATGAATCCGGAAGATGAAGCTGAAGAAGATGGTGCCAATATTGATCTTGACTCGCAAAGAAAGGGGAAGTGTGTTGTGCTCAAGACTTCTACTCGACAGGTGACATGGATGATGATTTCCTTTCATGTTGTTGGCAAAGGAGATGCATGTTTTCATAGTTATAGATCCTTTTGTATTCGTTATCTTCTTATGATTTTGGTGAGGACATGCTCTTAGAACTAATTTCTGGGATCTTGATGTTTTTTTTCGACTGCAGACAATCTTTCTTCCTGTTGTTGGGCTTGTTGACCCTGATAAGTTAAAACCAGGTGATTTGGTTGGTGTTAACAAAGATAGTTACTTAATCTTGGATACCCTGCCTTCTGAGTATGACTCTAGAGTTAAGGCCATGGAGGTTGATGAAAAGCCAACAGAGGACTACAATGACATTGGTGGATTAGAGAAGCAGGTGAGTTTTGATTCTTGAAGCACTTCTTTTCTAGGGTTAGGTGACGAGATATCTCGGGTTGTTTGAATAACTCTGTCTTTCTCAACAGATTCAAGAATTAGTTGAAGCCATTGTTTTGCCCATGACTCACAAGGAGCGGTTCCAAAAGTTAGGAGTTCGTCCTCCCAAGGGGGTGTTGTTATATGGTCCTCCAGGGACTGGGAAAACTTTAATGGCCCGTGCCTGTGCTGCACAGACAAATGCCACTTTTTTGAAATTGGCAGGCCCTCAACTGGTTCAGGTATGACAATCTATTTCTGTTTTCTGTTATATATTTCTAAGCATGACTAGTGATTCCAATGTTACATGTGCGCACATGTTGTTATTCCACGGTTACATGCTTGTAATGTTTTCCCCATCTTTTTGTTCTGTACCAATTGAATAGTCAGTACAGTAGGGCCAGATCGTTCCTTTTGGTTCAGTTTTTTTAGCTGAATTTTGCATATGATATATGTCAATGACATTTGATGATTGTACAAGGATTATTTCTTATTATATTATTTTTTAATATTCTGAGTGCAAACATGCATAGAAGTTTCATCTGATTTTGATGTTTTCCTATCATCCAACACATCTAAGTAGTCAAGACTTGTTTCCTCTATTTCACCTGCGCGCACTATCTTTATAGTTTGTATTTATTTCTCTTAACTGGGTTTGAATTAGAATGATCTAATCTGGGAATTTGCACAGATGTTCATAGGAGATGGAGCAAAACTTGTTCGTGATGCCTTCCAACTAGCAAAAGAGAAGTCACCATGCATTATCTTTATAGATGAAATTGATGCTATTGGTACAAAGCGTTTTGATAGGTATTAGCATGCAAGATGATAGATCCATGTTTGCAATTGACCTTTTTTTCCTTCTTGAGGAAGAGTGTTATTCAATTCAGTAGCCTTGATGTATCTTGTGGCTGATTGCAGTGAGGTAAGTGGAGACAGGGAGGTACAACGAACAATGTTGGAATTGCTCAATCAGCTTGATGGTTTTAGTAGTGATGACAGGATTAAGGTTTGTCTTTAATTATTGTTATCTATGTGTTTTTCATGATTGATGTGATAAATGAGCTTCAAAGAATTTCACTGTCTGTGGGTAAAGCATAATAGTTCCATTTTCGTTTATTATTGTAAATTGCAGGTGATTGCAGCGACAAACCGTGCAGATATTCTTGACCCTGCTCTTATGCGTTCTGGGCGATTGGATCGTAAAATTGAGTTTCCGCACCCAAGTGAAGAAGCAAGGGCTCGGATTCTACAGGTTTAGTGTCTTCAAAATTTATCTGCCGACATACTTTTGGAACAAAACATTTATTAACTGCTCTCACTTTGATATTTTAGATTCATTCAAGGAAGATGAATGTTCACCCTGATGTCAACTTTGAAGAACTTGCTCGGTCTACAGATGATTTCAATGGAGCACAACTGAAGGCTGTATGTGTTGAGGCTGGCATGTTGGCTCTGCGCCGAGACGCAACTGAGGTGTGTTTTCTTGCATATTTGCAACAACTTAAATAATTTAAACATCAATTTTTTAAAGAAAATAAATACCATATAATTAATATAGGAGACATTATTGGGCTGATATTTCTGTTTGCAGCTGTTTTTTTTTTAAGGTCTGCCTTTGTTATAAACATCAATATAATCTATAACATACATACTCTAAGCATAGCTTCTAGTTAAAGCGATTAAGAATGTTATTGCCATATTTTTTGGCTTTTCTGGTTCAATTCAGTGCCAAAGCTGCAGACCACCGTAATTAATCTGTTTTTGTTTCAAACGTAGGTGAACCATGAGGACTTCAATGAAGGTATTATTCAAGTCCAAGCAAAGAAGAAAGCAAGCCTGAATTATTATGCATAGGCCGGATTGTGGAACAAGCTATTTTTCCATTTACAAAGATTTATCGAGACAGCTCAAGCCAATGGAAAACCCAAGTCGTTGTTTGACATTTGTTAGCTTTTACTTATTTTTTTTCTGGCAATATTTAAACGTATGATTACCTATAGCACGCCAGAATCATCATCATCTTTTAAAAACACAATCTAGTCACCAATTTCGTAGTAGTAATTGAAATTTGATCTGTTTGCCATGTTTAAAATCTTGCTGATCAAACTAAATGCGATTCTCTATGATATACCGACACTTGTGAACTAGTTACTTAATCCATTTACATGGATTCTTGAGCAGTAATCAGAATTTGATTTTAACTCTACGGACTATTTATAATTTATAGTGTGTTTGGATAACATTCAAGAATCAATTGAACCCTAAATTCATTGTGATTAAAAAGTTTAAGTGTGTGTTTGGTTTGAATTTATAAACGTAAGTTTATACCCTCTCTCCACGTCCATATATGTATTTACGGAGAAGTTGAAATTTTTTCCTTCTGATGAAACGTGATTTTTCACGTTCGAACGCCAACTCAAACACGCTATACGTAATTATTTCTTGCTTTATTTTCACCATGAAAAATTATTTCTCTCTATGAAGCCAATCTAAACACTGTTAGTTATCATACATCAATTGTAGGGTTTTTAGTACGATTAAGAACATTAGACTTATTATTGCTTGGTTTTCTTTTAGTTGGCTCAACTATTTTCGATTTTTCCTCGTAAGATAAAGTTGGACTAAATTTTTTTTTTTAAGTTCTTAAAAAAGTTTTTTTTTTTTCATGAGAAAGAAAAGGTGCGTTTTTTAAATAAAAAAATGGATGAATGACCTTTTTATTTTTTAAAAAAAAGTGCAGTCTCCTTGGGCGGTTTGCATGTTGTTTGAGGTCACCGTCGAAGATGACTTGGTGGGTGCCGGAGTGAGTGTTTGGCGTTTTTCCAGCTACCAACGCCGATGGGAATGTGCATCTTATACTAGGCTTGGAATGCAGCTTAATGGAGGTGAATAGTTTGTACTATATATAAAGTAGACGGCATACATGTATGAAATTAACACAAACTGGTGGATTAAGAGCTTTATATTAAATGTAATTTTTACAAATTTAATAATTAAATTGAAAGTTCTTTACTTTTAAATTATATACAAAATTTTATATTAATTTAATATGATTTGATACTTTATTTTTATAAAATAAAATTGGCGTAATTTATTCATTTCAAAATATAATAAAATATGAACACTTTAATTATCTTCAAATTATTGTTTAATTTTAACAAAATTTAATATAAACATATGAAATGATATGAACTTTCAATTTAATAATTGGATTTATAAAATTCACATAGTTATTGAGCTGTGTAATACTTAGTAAAAGTTATACCGTATTATTTATTATAATGTTCCTATATATATATATATTATATTTCATTAGTAAAATTTATCTTTAAAATTCTATATCAAAACAACTTGATATAGCTTACAAGTTCCTACTCTAGTAGGAAACAATTTTAAGTCTATAGTGTAGTTTGCAATGGCTTGTTTGCAAAAACTCATGATACCTTATAGATATCACTCTCCGGTGCAACCTCTAGCACTTGTATCTTTTCATATTTGGTATGCCTTAAAAAATGATACTTCTAAAATCATATATTTAGATTTTGCTTTGGTGGTGAAATAGAAGAGATTATATATCTTGTTGCCTAACTTATTAACTTTGTTAGGTTAACTTATTAACGGTGAACTTCATCTTAATACTCCTTTTTGTTCTAACATTTGCGGTTTTTTCTTCGTCGCCAAAAAGTAATGAATGAAATTGCAGCTGTAATTTACAAGGATAGAACAAAATGGATGACGAGCTTGCAGCAGAAATTTACTAATTCTAAAAGGTAAGAAAACCCAGATTTTGGTTAGTTTAAATGAATTGGTCACAAACAAGTAATTTATTGAAATAGAATATAATTTATTGAAATAGAATATGAGAAAATAGTGTTTCACGTTTAGTCTCCAAAGTTTGTGTTTGATACTGTGTTAAATAATTGAATACCTAAATAAATTTGAAGTTAAGCAAATTTAAGTAATTTTTATGCTAAATAAAAAATTTATTGCAAGTTTTCTTGGTAACAAATTACATCAATTTTAAGTCAAATTAATCTTGCAAACGTTGATGCGCACATATAAATTTATTTAGCATTTAGCAAATATATAGCGGAAACTTAACAAAAACACATTAGTCGATTAAAACAATTATAATAAAATGTTCCTCTGATACGAAATTAAACTCTGGAAACAACCTCCTTAAAACACACTGAACCAAAACCTAAAACACAATGACTAGAATTTAAAAACAAAGCTTCTCAGCTCAAATATGATAACTAGGGGGCCTGTAGTACAATCTAAAATCTTAAAGGCATGTGTTCAGCACTTGATTTCCTTCAACCCATAGGCAAAGTAGATAAAAGTTGGCTCAGTAGCACCTTCCTTGTAGTATGCAAAGACAAGACTTCCATCATCATGCATACTCTCCCCCACAAAACTGCCACATTGTTAATAAAGAAAAGGTTAACAAACAAACCCACAGTTCAATTTGATATATCTAAACAATTAATTAAAAAGTATCTTAGGTACATTTTCAAATTAATTAGTATAGAAGTTTTAAACAATTTTGAATTCTGTAGCAACCTATGATTGGATGGAAAGATTATGAATCACTTACAATTGGAGGTCACTGAGCTTTGAGAGGAGGAACTTGGTTGCTCCCTCAATGTGTTTCTTAAACAACTCTTGCTTCTCTGCCTCTAATTTGGGTGTCAGCAACTTAATATATCTCTTCATATATGTAATAAATTGCTTCTTATCAAAAGGTGGTTGTTCCTGAAATTTTATTTTTTTTTAAAAATCATTTGTTCTGCAGAAGAAATCAACCTATGGTTAATTAACCAGAAATAAGAAATCCTCTTTTTACCTGAAGTCTAAAAGTGTCAACAATATCAACCACTTTGACAGCTTGATCATCAACTCCCTCATCCTCATCTCCACCTTCTGCAGAAGGGTTAGCACCAATATCTACATTTACTGCTCCTTGAACAACCCACTGCCAAAAGCCACATTACACATTACAGATGTGACGTAAACATATATAAGGGGACATGAAAAATTAAACACGCAAAGAAACTTGTTCAAATTATATAAATCATTCCAAACCTTTCCATCCACTTCCCACAGCATTCCATTTTCAATTTCCTTGTAGGGGAATGAGTCAGAGAGAAGCTCATCGCCTAGAAATTCATCAACAAATTGAAGTTTATAAGTTCAAGCATTTGAAAATTATCATCAGATCAACAATATTTACTTACTTAATCCTTGGCAACAAAACCAAAAATCTTGATCCCTAAGTGTGTTTAAATATCCGTTTGAATCACTTCATACAGAAGTTTAACACATTCTTATGTGTAAACGTAAAAGAAAATACATTGATACACCCACTATAACTAAAATCCTTAGGACATTAAGAGTGTTTGGATATCTATTTGAATCACTTCATATAGAAGTTTCACACAATCTTAAGTGTAATCGTAGAAGTAAATACATTGATGGACACACTAAATCAATCATTCTAAGGGATGAATACAACAAGTGTAGCACTTCTTGACAAAATCAGAAAATTATATACACTTGGGTCACAAATACAACGTGTTATTATGATGAACCATAAAACTCTATTCTAATTTTGGATAAAACTTCAAAGCTAAGGTTAAAACACTGAACAAAAAACATTCAACCCGCAGAAACAGAGTTAAAAACCTCCCAACTTATCAGTTTTCTGCGACAAATCACTCTTGTCGCAGAAACACGATATAAATCTAAATAAATCATACTTGAACAAATAGCTTATATGCTTGCAAAATATTAGTCTAAAGAAGAGGAATTGATCGTAACCAAACAGGGTTACAATAAGTTACATGAATAGTACATGAACATAAAAACCATAACACGAAATTCACTCAGGCTTTCATCTATGTAACAACTAACAACAATCCTACGAGATCCAAAATTGCACAGAAGAATAAACCCAATTGGGTGGCAAAAGTAAAGAACAAAAACAAGTTTTGAAGAAGTAAACAATACCTGTAAGAAGATCTTGGTAGACAAGCATGGTTACAGTTCTTGTTGTTTATCTCTGAACAAAGAATACTAGTATGATTCGAAAAATATAGGAAGAGAGAGATAAAAGAGTTTGCAAGGGTGTGAGAGGTTAAAAGGAACAGAGGCGGTGAGATTTTATAGATGAGAGCACAGAGGAGGGTGATATTTAGATTGCCAAAAATTGTTCCTGATTTTTCTCCTAAATCCTAATCCAATCATACTACTATATTTACTTTTGTTGTTACTTTTTATTGTGGGATGATAATGGATTTCAAACTAAGATAAAGACAGATAATTTTAACAAAATCTAAAGGATATAGGAAGAATTCTACTGCAATTTTGCCACCGCAACATACATCTATAAATCTTCACAATCACAAGTACTACTGGTTTCATGAGGTGAGTAGAATTTGAAGGTGATATAAGATGAGTGAATCTGTTAATGTAACATTAACATTTTTTATTTTATTTTATATATACCATTAATCCTTATCTAAATCTAATCAATATCTTTTTTTATGTGATAATGGATATTTTGTCGAAATTAGGTATTCTCATGGAAGTAATTTGGGAAACTTATATTTAAACCACTTGAGTAGATAATGGAAAGAGTTTTGGTGAACTTTTATTTTTTTTCCTTTAGATAAGATGATGAAATTACAAACGTCACGATTTTTTTCTTCTTCTTTTATCTATCAGAATTAAGGATACAAACGTCACGATCAAAATGAATGAGATAAATGAAGTTTCAAAAATAATATTTTAAGAGAAAAAAATTTACTGCAATAATTTTATTTAGATTTTATAAAAAAAATTTAAATTCGTTTCCTTTTTAAATTAAGTTGATGATAACATAAAAAAAGTACACTAAAAATAATTTTTATTCCACAACAATTATTATTATATGTATTCATGATTTTTTATATTTTATATTTTTATGTATATAATTTCTTTTCACACATTATTCTTAGCATCTAAATGTGTAAACACGATGGTATTTAGAATATAAGATATATATCTAACAGGAAAATTATTTTTATATGATATTGACAACCGGCAACAGTAAACTTAAACTATATAATTTTATAGCATTATTACTTAAATTAATAACGTGATTTTTTAAAAATGTTATATAACTTGTATTTTTTTTGGTAACCTGTGTGCTTTAGTCTCAGTCCTACATTATATTAGAGGAGAAAAAAACTATCATATATATGTAAACACATGTATTGTTATATATGCCATGGGGAAATTCCTACAGTGGGTACAACAACAATTTCTCTAGCTTATGACTTATCATAATAGAATATTGGGTGATAAATAAGTGTTTTAGAATGTGTGTGGACTGTGGCACGGAATATCCATTTATTGTGAGATATATTCTTTTCTGTTTTTCCATGTGACGTGATGTGCAAGTGGGGTAAGAAACTAAGAATAAAGAATAAATGTGAGACCAAAATGTTGACCTTATGACCACTAATCGATTATTGAATTCACAGATCAGACCAAACTCTCTTTGACAAGTTGGCAATGGAAGGAAGGACGATCTCGTCCAGAAACTGATCAAGTATTTGGTATGTCTAACTCCCCACTGCATTCATCCAAATTATCGGTTGGGACCAACTGTTTCACTAACTTTTTCTTTGGTTTATTTATTATTTTTAATATTAATTTAATTAAATCATTTTAATTTTTTTTGTATATAATTTATATGTAATTTGAGATTATTGATCTTTTATATGTTGAAAAAAAATGTTGGAATAGTATCTTAATAAATATACAATTTTTTTTTCTTTTTTTGGGTAGGCTAGGTCAAGGTTTACGACTTGTTTATTTCTATTGAGCCAGTCCAACTCAGTTTATTTTTGGCAGGCCATAGGTAGGTCGGAATGACCCGTTTTGCCATCCATAATATATTTGTATCCATTCTCATCTTTATTCAATTTTTTGGATAAAATCCTGGCCAAGTCCTAATCCCCATTTATGTGGATTTTTACCCTCTCTTTTTGAAAGTATTTTTTGTAAGTATGCACAAGGTCCGGGTACATTTTGTCATCCATATTCTTTCTATGTAAAAGTAGAGTGTACTATGACATTGATTCAAATTTAAAATTATAGGTGGTGAGAGGTTTAAGGTAATATGGATAGGATCTTAAATTTGAACTCTAGTATTGTTATTGTGATTCTAATAAATAAAAATAATAATTATAAGGGGCATTTAATAGAAGGAAAATATTTTTATATACAATGATTATAATTTTTGTATATTATAAATTTTAGGAATAAAGATTCTTATGAATGATTAAGATATGTTTGATTGGTCATAAGTGTTTTTTAAATATTTATATATGTTATTTGATAATTAACAGTGTTTATTACATTAAATAAGAAAATAAAAAGTAACATGCATTTTTTTTACTAGAGTAAAACTTTACATTTAATTAAGAGAATGTTAGATTTTCACATACTTCATGAGAACAATTTCATAGGAAACATAGGTAAAATAATATTTTTTAAAAATATTATTTTTTAATTAGTAAATCAAACATGAAAATTAACATTTCTAATTTTAAATTCTTAGAAGAAAAAAATCTTTAAACCAAAATGCAAGCCTCCTAAATGTTTACTTCCTAAAAATATATTACCTTCATCCCTAATTATAAAACCCCTTTCAACTAGATTATGTCCTTTGAAAAATTTAGTTAATTTAATTAAAAATATTGTTTTTCAATAATTTAAAGTACTTTTCCAAAATTAACCTTCTCTCTTTCTACTTAATAATTTTCACCTAATTAATTAATTTTTGGAAGAGAGATATTTATGTATTTATTTATCTTCTTGAATCCTAATAAGGAAGAAAAAAAATTAATTAACTTTAAACATTTATTATCTTTTGTCTAAAATATTTATTTATTAAACAAGGATATTTTAGAAAAGATGTAATTAATACATTTGACAATTAAAAGATGATTTTTTAAAAAAGAGACAAGCAAAAAAGTGAAAAGGGTCTTATACACAGAGACAAAGATAGTTAGTGTGTCTTATAACACTGAAAAGATGTAAAGGGTATCTACATATATGTCCCATTAATTTTAATATTCTTAAAATAAATTTCAATAATTAAAAATATTTTTTAGTTGTAATATAAATTATTTATCTTAAATATAATTTAATGTTAAAAACTATTATTTACAAATTTTAAATATATTTTATATATTCAAATATATAATTTACTATAAATTTTAGCACATGTAATAAATATTTAATTTGTGAAATGTTAGTAAATATCATATTTGAATGAATAATTATATTTCAAAATGTGCATAACTAGATATTTTTTAAGTATATAAATTATATTATTAGTAGAAAATGTAAAGATATTTTCATCCTTTTAACAAAACTAAAAAAGAGGATATCTCTCTCCATGAAGATTCCCTTCCTTGTGGCTCTTCTTAAATAAGATGGATCCAACCTCCTATAGGTTCCACCACGATTTTGAGCCAAATTTGACAAAAAAATTTGACTCATTCTAATTATAAGAAAATTTTTGCCCAGCTCACTTACAATCTGATTCATCATAAGCCAACATGTGGCTAACGGGTAGGATCGCTTAGTATGTTTTTTTTTTTTTTTTTTAAATTTTCAAATATTAATTCATGTGATTATACATTTATACCATTAACTATATTTTATAAATAATCTATGATAATTAGTATCAATTTGATATTATTTGTCAATATTTTATGTAACAACTTTAATTTTATAAGTTAATTAAGTTGAGTTAGTCCACCTATGGTCCAAACTATGGTGACTTGAGGCAAATTACCTACTTTGACAACTATAGTAAAGTTGCATGTGAAAGTGTAATTAGAAATAACATTAGAAGCTTTACATTAAGCTTCACGTACAATTTAGGTTAGTGTTCAGTTGTCCAAGTTGAACTGTGGACAATCTATTATGATATCTGTTAGGAGTGAGTACAAAATTAAGATCCAAAGGAAAAATAAGCCTCTCGATTGTATTCAAGAGAAATGAATGGATTAGAGTGGTGAAAAATTATATAAGATGAATTGTAGTAGTTAAGCTTGATTTTATAAATTTGTTTTGACAAAACTTGAATTGATAAAAAAAAACAATATTTATTAATAAGTCCGAGCAAACACATTGAAATGAAGAGTCTAACTTTGAGTAAAGCTAACCACTTTCATTGTCCTTTCAACAATAATGTAATTATTTATTTACTTTTCATTTTTTAAAAGTCCATCAAATCAAACCCGAAGACCATTGTATTAGTATCTCACATTTTCATTACATTTGTAAACTGTGTAGTATTTCGTTCTCTTTTTCTTGTAGATCATTTCAATCTTCTTCTTCCCAAAACATTATTTTCTACATTTGCCTCGAATGTTCATTGCACATTGGTTCTATAACATCGTTGTCTCTAATAGGCTCTTGCATGATTTACAAGAATGATGTTGCAAAAGAACGAGAATAAGAACTTTAAGAAAGATCTCTAACGCGAAAAAATTGCAAGGGAATGCTAATCTCTAACGACCTCCAATGAATTTCACATTCAAATCTCTAGTGAACTTCACACTCACCTGCTTTAGTTCGCAAATCATTGAAATGACATGATTTAGTTTTGGTCGGATTGGTAATTTTGAACCTGAATCCAATCAAAATCGGCTGGTGATCACCCCATTAATTACATCATTAAAGATCGTGGCCTTAATGAGAGCATCATTGTCAAGTTTGATTCATCTCTAACCATGAAATTTTTAAATGAAGATTCCAATGCATTCCATAGTTGTGCAACATTGACCAATGTAATCGTGGAGATAGCCAACATGAGCAGAATTTGATTTGTAAGCACCTATTTAGAAAAGTGAACTAAGTAGCAAATGTCATGGCTAATTTTGGCTTATTCTTAGATCCAAAACTGCACATTTTTTTATTATCATTTGTCAATAATTTCTTATCTTTTACATGCTAATTCTTTAGTTATATTGATTTTTCTTTAGTGATTTCTAGTTCAGGCTTTTAGTCCTCGGTGTTTCACCAAAAAAATAAATAAATTATATTTTAGTTTTAAGATAAATAATTTATATTACGATATAAAATTATTTTTAATTATTAATAATTTTTTTTAAAAAATATTAAATTTCAATTTATAAATTAAAAAATAAATTAGATTAAAAATTAAAAAATCTTTAAAGATATTTATGTTAAATGATAACTCTTAAAAATACTTTGACATAATTGTTCGCTTTTAATATACAAAAATTAATAAAAGTTAGTGTTCATATTTATGTCAATTTTTTTATATAAAAATGATCAATAATTACATATCACAAAATAAATTATGACAAATAATTTTTTCCCTTTAAAATAGAAAGTTTTTTGAATTAGTCATTTTTTATTATTATTTTGTCCCAACAATTTTTTTCATAATTTTTATTACTATTTTGTCCCACATAATTTTTCTTTAATTTTGTCCCAACAATCCCAATGACACCATGACACTAAAATTAGAGGAACCCAAATATGGTACATATATGAGACCAGATAGTCAAAAATGACTTAAAAAGAGTTTATTAAAACTATATATGTCATCAAGATGCATATATTTTATGATAACTTATCACGTAAAAATTTCATAGTTAAACATATTTAATTTAGAATAATTTTAAGATAGATAACCTTATGAAAATTTTTCTAGAAAGTGTGTAAAATAAGATAAAACATGTTAAAAAATTATGTTTTGATTTGTGCGTTATAAGACTAAAATAATAATTTTAAATTTAAAGGATAAATTTTTTTATCTTATATATAAGAGATTAAAAATATATTTAAATTAAAATTATATTATTAACCTAATTAACGTAAAATAGGGGACTAATAAACTAGACTTTTAAAAAGTAAAAAACAAATTATGATTAATTAAACATATATTTAAAGCTTGAATAATTAACCATTAGAATTGGCTTTGGGATGATTAGAACGAGGGAGATCTATATTTAATTCTTAGATCATCTTTATAATTTTTTTATTTTTTATTTTGAAAAAGAACCTGAATGACTTATTTTCATCCTAGATCTCAGACAGTACCTATAGAAATAAGTAATTAAAGTTAATAGAAAAGAAAGTGGGAAAATATTTAAGGCGAAAGAAAGGTGAAGGCAACACCAATGAATCATAACCGTCGGTGTCATTTATTGGACAAGAGTTATCAAGAGTCAGAAGAAGAATCCAACGATCCGAAAGAAATCAACATTCTTAAGCTCAAATTCATTCTTCTTCGTCTCCAAGACAGACCAAACCAAAGACCAGATCTCAGATTACAACTTTTCGTCTTCGTACTTTTCTCATCCCTGTCGTAACTCTCTCTCACACACAGACAAGGTCAATTTAATTAAACGACGCCGTTGCTTCTCTCTAGCGTCTCGATTTTAGGGTTTTGTAATGGGTCTTGGTAACGATGAAGAGGAGGATAATACCAACACTAATAATAACAAGGTGGTGGATGACGGAGATGCCGGAGGAGGCAAGTCCTTTGCTTCAGTGCCTTGTTCCATTTGCCTCGAGGTTGTTGCCGATAATGGGGATAGATCCTGGGCTAAGCTTCAATGCGGTCATCAATTTCATCTCGGTAACTCCAATTTCTCTACCTCACTGCATGCAAATGCGATGCAATGGACAATTCTTGAATTAGAATCTTACATACAATACAACCTATGCCTTCAAAGGCAGATGTTTCAATTGTTTTTAACTGCAACAATTGAGATCTGGAATTTAGTTTTTGTTTAATAATTGCTTTTACCGTTGGTTGATGCAGAATTAAGAATAATTGAATCAACTATGCATGACTCTTATTCTCAATGATATGTTCATTGGTGTTGGAGTTCTAAAGCCGAGAGAATTTGTAGGTTGTGGGATCCTGTTTGCTTGTTTATTTTTAATGGAGAATTGAACTGCATTTAGTGAATGTGACCTAGCCACAAGGGGCAGTTATTGTGAAAGGCTTGTCATGATAAAATATGGATGATTGGATACAATATTAATATTCTTTTGGAAGCTATCAGATTAAAACAGATTTTGCAAGTTGGATTTGTTATGTTTGTTGTTATGTTGTCGTTTAATGATAACGGTGATTCGGCTTACTGTTGCAACAGCCAAGTTAGATTTTATGATGGAATTGTGGAAATCTAGATCAGTTTTCAATATTTGCAGTTAGTAGGAAATCATGTTTATGTATGCAGAAGTTGGATATTGTCGTGTTCCTGATAACATTAACGACAAAAACTGTGGCGTATTGACAAACTTTCTATTAATTTGGTGCAATTTCCACATAATATATGTAGTTACTAATGTTTAGCATGTATTGACCACTTTTAATAGGTTTTGTCAACAGTGAGAAACTCCTGAGTATGTGATTTTATTGTTTTTCAGTTAAGCCCAGTAAGGGGGTATAATTATGTGAGGTATATTAAATTTTAAGTTGAACAGCTGATAGAATGATGTATACAAACTTTTCCCCTCTGAAACTAAACCCTTGGTTTATTACTCAGGTGCTATGTGAAAAAGAAGTTTGGCAATTATGCTGAAGATCAAAATTTGTTGAGATTTTTAATAGGGGCACTTAGAGGAATAGGCTTCATGTGTTTATATGAATCGAGTCTTTCTATTATAATGTCCAAAGAGTATTGGATATAGCACCCTGAACAGTTTTTTTTATTTTTATTTTTTTTTTATCAGCAAATGCTAATTGTTAGTTGTGATGTTAGTGGGGAGATTCGAACCCACTCCCTCCTTATGACTCCAACCTTATGTCCCTCCTTCCAGGCCACCTTATATAATGCTGTGACAGTTATGTAAATGATATTAATGAACTACATCTTTCACATTAGATCCAAAAATATAATACTCTTTGCTAGAGGAGTAATTTCAATTGGTCCTTATATAGATGCTTATTTAGAAGAGTGTTATGGTTTAATCGTATTAGCAGTAGTAATGTCAATTTACACAAGCTCCTATATTGGTAGTTGTGTTTTATGAGTTTAATGCATCAAGGTCACCATTAAATTTTAAAAGCTTTATTGAATTAATCAATATAATAAAATAATTTTTGCCGTCATTGCTGGTACATATCTGGATTGAAGGAGATGCTTACTGTTGAAAGTATTTCTCAAAAAGTTAAAATTGAAATTCAAGAGATGACATTGTCAATGTTGTTCCCATTGACATAAGACAAATAAAAGTATCTGTGGTTCTATGTTTAAACAAATCCAATCCTGACACTTCAAAAGCAATTTCATCATGTTTCATGTTAGATAAAACGGCTAATTATGTTGAGATTAGTGCTAATTGCACTTACACTCTTGACTGAAAAATTACACTTACCTCTTTTACTTTATATACTATTTTTACATTTTAACACCCATTACTTTTAAAAAATTTACCCAGTCCTCACTTTTTTAATGCTTGGATCATGCATATGGTACCTTGAAAATAGTAAAGTGGGGTGCAAAGGAAGTAGGTGTGCTTTTGAAATCAAGAATTGTGTAAGTGTAATTAATGTTAACCTCAAGGGAGGTCAATGTAATTATCCCTTGAAAAATGCTAATTCACTTAATTTATTTTTGGTTTACCATTTTTAAATATTTTGATAAATTGATCCTTCAATTTTGATTTCTTCATTAATGTAAGCCTAGTAAAGTGCTGCCATTTCGTGATGCTTGTTATTAATTGTAAAGCACCAAATATATTAGGCTCAAGAATGAGTTTTATCTTCATCAGCCATACGAAGAAATCTTTTGGGTTGAAGGGTGGACAAAGCACAAGCTGATTGCTACCTTGCACTGAAGATCACTCCCTACCTTGAGTTGTTACTTTTATGAGCATCGTGCTTCTAACAAAAGCAAGTTGTATTTCTGAAAAAATTAACATTAACTCATGGTTAAGCGTTTGATGTTGGTGGTTATACTTTTATGGTTACTTTCAGCTAAACTTTGGATGATTATGGAGTTATTAAGTTATTTACCTATATTATGACTGTGAGCTTAGTTTATCACATTCAATTATGGTTTTATTCACATATACTGTTATTATATGAATTATATTGAATTTCTAAAAAATGTGAACAATCTTTGAAATAGTATGTGCTGCATTAAGCACTATGTGATGTGTACTATTGAATTTTAATGACCGGAAAAGTGGAGATCTGCAATCTGAAGAGAGAATAGAATGATACTATTTCATGATTTCTAAATAATATTTACATTATGTGTATTTTTAGCATAGTACAAGGCTATAATTCTTTGGTACATTATTTGTCTACTGTAGGTTTTTCTTTGGCTTCTAGCTTATGTTTGGGATCCATTGGAGTAGGTGCTGGTTTGCATCCAATTTTTTATTTATTTATTTATTTATTTTTATCAATAATCCAGTCTCGTAAACTTTGCTTATATGTGAAGATCCCTTGGCTAGAGTGTGCCACTTCAAATTTCCTAGTTCTTCTATCTAGAAATCCTGGACCAGTCTCTGCCTCAATTCTCCTTTACATTTCTCATCATTCCCAGTTATTATGATGTCATCAACATTCAACATACACTAGGAGGTTGGTTACCCCCTTGTCACTAAATGTTTGATAAAGAGAGTGTGAATGTGAACAGTAGAATAATCTTCCCATTGGGTTTGTCAACAATATCTTGTATTGTTCTTTTCCAAGGCATTCATCTCCTCTTTTATAGCATCTCTCCATTCCCTTATTGACAAGGCCTTTGAAAAAGTGTTATGGACAACAATAGAGTTCAAACTTACAATGAACTTTTTATGATTAGCAGATAAGTGATCAAGTGAAACATAGATAAAGGATAAATGATTTTTTAGTACAATTTCCAGTACCTTTTCAAACAGCAATGATGAGAAGATCTAGGTCATCTGTAGGGCTGAAAGGGACTTCATTTACTTGTTTAGTTCTTTCACTGTCTCAATTTGAGGACTTGGTAACTTGAGAATTGAGTTATACTTTGTGGGCTAGATTCGGTGGCAGGGTTGAGTAACTCATGTTTTTTAGGAGACATTAGGATAGGCTCAATCTCTGAATCAGGAGCAGAGTTTATTGAAGCTCGGGGTTCCTTTGGCTGGGCAATACTTGCTTGCCTTTTGGTAGTTCAAGAAGCTTGCAGTGTTCATCATATATCATTGGAATCTCCTCTTGATATGAAGTGTTGGGAGAGAAAAAGGTTTGTTTTTAGTAATGGTGGTGATATTGGAAAATATCTACCATTTGTTGGATAAGGGGTTGTAGCACTTGTAACCTTTTTGAGTGACAGAAATCACAGAACAGAAAACACATGACAGCCTGAGGATCAAGTTTGTCTCTATGTTGGCTGTGAACATGAACAAAGGTTGTGCACCCAAATACTGTAGGAATAAGTCCATTTGATATCTTGAAGTGAGGATAATAACTGTTTAAGATCTCTATTATACCAGAGTTAACAGAGTATAAGGCATTTATGCAAGTTGCAAGAAGGTACACCTGAAAGAGCAAGATTCATAGGTTTTTTCTAGAGTTCCTCACAGGTCTCCCAATTTCTTGATCTGTTCGTTGTTGAATCTTCCTGCTG